TGGTTTCTCTTCAAATGAAATTTCAAACATTGTAAAGAAATTACGGAACAATAGAGCTCCGGGTTTGGACAACATTACAGCTGAATATTTAAAAATATCCCCGAACATAATCTCTTCTTTTCTCCTTGCTCTCTTTAATAAAATTTGGGAAAGTGTGAAAACTCCGACAGAATGGAATAAATCTCTCCTGTGCAACTTTCCGAAAATTAAGGAATAATTCGCGGACTATCGGGCAGTAGCTGTCACCTCATGTGTATCGAAAGTCCTTATGACACTCATCAAGAACAGGATCTTAACTTCTACACCCCATCTTCTTTCTAAATATATCTGCGCATATAGGCCAAATAAAAACATTTTGGAACCCATTTTATCGCTAAAAATAATTATGCAAAAGTGCTGGAAATACAGGATTCCGTCTTATTACACTTTTATTGATTTTAGTAGGGCCTCTGATAATGTAGACCATAACGCCTTATGGGTAGCACTATCAGATACAGGCATTGTACAAAATATTATCTCCATCTTAAGGAATCATTATTCCAAATTAACTTCATGTTTTAAAACAAACGATAAAATATCACCCTCCTTCAAGATAAAAAAGGGAGTAAAACAAGGTTGCACTTTATCACCGCTTCTCTTTAACATCATAATAAATAAAGTCATAAAGGAGGTAAATGCTGCTGCCGACTTGGCTGACTTTGGGTCTAATGAAAATTTTCAGTTTGTTAATAAGATCGTTTCGTATGCCGACGATATTGTTGTAATATCAAAAAATATTGAAGAGACTGTAAGCCTGATTTACCTAATCAAAACCATAAGCCTCAGAGTTGGTCTAAAAATTAATTTCAATAAAACGGTTATTCTTTCCTCGCCAAATACACCACCACTCCAAAATCTTTTGGAAGGCGGAAACGTTATCAAAAAAGTAGATAATATTAAATACCTGGGTGTGATGCTCAATAACAAGGGGGAATGCAAGGAGAAAATGAAAATTAGAACGCAGAAAGCCAAAAGTGCGTTCTATATGTACATGAAAATCTGGAAGTCTAAGGAAATATCGGTTTTTACGAGGTTGAGGCTATTCAACTCTACTATTATCCCCATTTTATTATACGCAAGTGACATATGGGAAGCTAACAAGACTGACTTAAGACGCATTCAATTCTTTATAAAAAATTGTCTGAGAACTATAAATATATTTTTTATCCCAGAGTCATCTCTACTAACCTCTGGAGGAAATCTAGCCACACTCCGATAAATATTACGTTAAAAAAACGTCGGATACAGTTCCTAGCCCATATAATAAGGAATTCAGATCACAACCTTGCACATGATGCTATCGTTTGGTTATATACACATAAAGGGAAACAGTATACTAAATATAAACCGTTATGGTATTACAAAGCTATAAAAGACGTGATGGAGCTGAATGTAAACATGAAACAATTTATAAAGCTTAATAATTGCAAAAGGTCTATCAGAAAACTCTTTTGCATCAAAGATAGATATTTCAGATGAAAATTGTTCCTAGGGATCTCTCGTTCACATACCTTTTTCTTACTTTTCTTCTTCGATTTCTTATGTGGATTTATTCCTCTCGAAAGTATTTTTCTTTAATTACCTCAAAAATAAATAAACTTGCTTTAATATAGTAAAATTTTTTAAATTAAATTATCCACCTCCCACCTTTAAAGTAATTAATTTTAAAAGCAGTTCTTGAGTATAGGGTATTTTTTGGTCCCGCTCTTTTCCTCTAAGCCTATAGACGTTTTAACAACATTTCTTAGAAATGCTGTGCGTACAAGTACGTGCGGCTTGCCCACAAACGTGTGGAGGGCTCCTCATATTTTTTTCTCCCCCAAATTAATAAATTCCAATTAGATGGAAATGAGGAAAACCTAGCGTTGCTCTGTTGTGTATTCAACGTTAGATGCGAATGCGCTATATATCACGTATCACGTATTTTGAATTTCGCTTTTCGTACAGAATTCAGTGATATTGATATTTTATTTTTAACACAGAATTTGATTGCAAGCTGACATAGTGAAAATATAATTTATAAGTATTAATCTAATCTAATAATTAAAATAGTATTCATTTAATAAAAATTTAGATAGTCTTATTAATTTTTAAATAATAAAATTAAATTTATATATTACTCAATAGAATTATAAAAGAAATCGTTCAGAGGGCAATTAAAATTATTAGTTCAAGGGGATATTAAGGAGCCATTAAAAAAACTATTCAAGTTTTTCAGAGGGCTCGAACCCCTGCGCCCCTTTCCCTAGTGACGTCACTACCCATGTGTCAATTATTTTGCTAATAATCTTCTAAATACCCCATTGCAATGAGTGGATACTACCACAGTGTTTGTGAGTTAATCAGGTTTGCCCCCATAAATGATTTGAATCTATAATTGCAGGTCATTTTTTTAAAGAGTATTTAGGTAGGTTTTAAAAACAATTTTATGAGATTAATGTAGATTTTATACGAAGTGAGAGGACAAAAACCATTTTGTCTGGATGTGGAAAATTTGTTAAAAGAACTGATAAATATAATAACTCACAAATCATTGTTAATTCAATATTTTCCAATATTTGGCCTTTTCTCTAAAAATTTATAGAAATCTTGGAAGAATGAATACGGATAATCTATTCCTCTCACTTGACCATTCTGATTCATCCATCGTCAAATAAAGGTAAAATTTATAATTTATCCATAAGGAGAAAATTCTGATTTTCCGTCATTCTTGACGAGCTATCAGCTAGTATTATAATAATTTATCATTTAAAGCATAAAAGTTGCAGAAGTTTAATGCTCTTTCTTTTCCAAAAATTTATAGCAAAGCATTTATATACTGCGTATAAAATTTCCCGAAAACAATATGACATTTTTGTTCTAATTTATTCGTAAAAGAATCTTATTCTACTTGTCATTGAATGTTTACTTGCTGACTTTGTTAGATAACGAGATATCTTGGCTTACATTCTATAATTAAATCTCGTATCCTGATTCAATATATAATTTTTGAAATCGGGCTTCTAATATAAGAATCCAACACCTAGATAAATATTATTCGCATATCGCTAACAGGAAGACTTGAAAAATATATTTTCCCTATGAACCTCAGAGCTATCATCCTTTACTAATAAATGGTTGTCTACCTTACCTCTCAAAAATGATGCTAAATTGAAATTAGACTTTTTTGTGATAAAATAAATTAACATGTTTCCTTAAATTTTGAAAGAAATATTAAGAGCTTCTTCTCTGTATATATAATTCGCAGTTATTTTTAAGATGTTGTTTTCCAATTCTTTTTAAAACATTATTAAGCGAATTTATATTAGCTCCGAACATATTTTTGAACATATCTAGCATAGTGCCATCTGGCTATGACGTTAAGTTTTATTGTCTTCGTGTGAGTTTTATTATTGTGCGTATCATCATTAGAATCACAACTTGGAAAACGGTTATCAGGCTAAAGATTGGTGCTATCAAGATCTATGCCACCTATTCGAAAATAGGAAGCCAGCACCTTTAGTTGTAATCAATGTCATTGGATGTAGAAGACGCCATTGAAAGGCATTTCGTCTACATAACTTTCGCATTCCCTCTATAAGTCATTTATTGGCGGATTCCAATATATATGCACTTTTGATTACATTTTAATGATGAATCGCTGTTCTATTATATTGTTTCTCCCAACATAAAATAAAATAAGGGATCTCTATAGAGCTCAAATGTTGCCATTGATGCCGATGAAATATCTATATTTAAATAAGAGCTAATAATTAAGAATTAAATTTTTATATATTGAATAGCTGGTAGGTAAAAAAAATCGGTAAAATTTTCATGACCCACATTGAAGCATTTTATCTACTTTTATCTCCTTTCAAATTTTACTTAAATCTAAAGATAAATTTATTAATAAGAAAAAGGGATACAAAAAAAAACATTACATATCGGTGACAACGGAAGAAGTCAAAAATATCTTATAAATTATATAAATATGGGTAGAGATGGAAAATCCATGCATGGCCTAGAGATAAGCCTCGAAGCACCATTTTCACGTTACATGAGGTTTTTATAAGGAACTCTTTATTAATAAAATCGTATGCGATTTGTTTTATCAATGATAATTTAGTGAATCACCACGTAATTATATGCACTCCAATTTTAAAAACTTACAGCAATTATTCTATGCATTATTTTGGTGTGTAAAATGAATTGAAAAATGGGTACTCTTTTGATATGATTTAAGAAAATATTCAATTATTATTTAAAAGAGTTACAAATAAATTCAATGATTATTAATGTCCAAATTTGGTATTCGTGGAAATTTTGATACTTTTATCTAAAAAAAATAGCTTTTTTAACGTTTATTAAAGAAAAAAAATAAATTTTCTCTCGACGTTTTATTAATATTTTAATGATCTAAAATGATCATAGAGCGACTGTAAAATGATATATTAAAAATTTGGAACGGGCTCAAAAATAAATTACAAATCCGGCCAATGCCAATAACTTTTTTTTGTAAAGCTTATGCGAAATTCTTTAAAATAATTTTAAATAAATTAACTGGAAAACAATTAATAGATTGTTTAGCATTCATTTACTGGCTGATATACTGATTTTTTTTATTTTTAACAATTTACAAAATATAAATTATATTATATGTGCGATTTCATAGATGCAGAGTTGTTAAAATATACTTTTTAAATGTATCTATATACAGAGCCCATATAGATACCATATTTTTGTAACTCGATACTTTAAAAACTCCGCATAAGCGTAATCAAGATTTTGTTAGAATTTAAAAAGAATAAAATATATCAAATTCTCTAAAATTAATTTTCATACTTTAGCTTTCCAATAAATGTAAAAAAAGTTTTCAAAAATATATCTGTTATTAACATGGATAGACAATTCAAATTTAAGTAACGATCTATTCATTAAGTAAAGGAAGGCTAACAATTAATTAATAGGCATATATCGAAACATATTTAAAAATTAACTTTTATTTGAGATAACCCAATGTCAACAATTAACAAACAATGGAATAAAAATGTGTACATATATAGGTAGTTAATAAATATAAATAAATAATTACAATAAAATAATTCAATAAGAATGTAGGGAGGGGTATATTTTGATTATAAATATCTTTCCAGCGCCTCAAAATTGGAAATGTGTTGAGGTGTTTTTTTAAGCGAAGAAAATGACGAATAAAACGACAAAAATAACGAGAATCGCGAAAATTTTTATCATGAGCCAACGATTGGACGAAAGGCTGTGAAAATATCTTAGTATTTCGCTATGAGCCGCCTCTATCGAAAAATGGGTTTCCTCGACGTTGGCATCTATCCTATTTTTTAAAAAAGGTAATTCATTTCATCGATATACCATAAATATGAATATGAGCGTTACGGTGTTAATTTTTATGAAAGAGTTGCCCAGCCTTATTTATTTTCTACCTCACCTTTTTCGATCTCATTTTTCAAATTTTTCTTCCTATCTATATTTATTTTTTGATCGCACCCTTTTAATTAAGTACAATTTTTGTATAAATAAAGGTGCTAAGAATGTTGTAATGAATATATTTTAGACAGCACGTCTCAGAAATTATCAAATGACGAATCCAATATGAGTTCTGTTCCTTGTCTTTCAATGCTGGTTCAAATCTTTAATCTAGAAATATCGATCCGCCAGAACTAATAGTATATTTGATTTAGAAAATTCAAATAATTAAAGAAAAAATTTATTTAGGTTTGGAAAAATAAAAGAATAATAAAGAAGTAAAAAAAAAGTTGGTATGGACGAATCTATAGAAGATGTCGAAATCGAAAACGGTATTGAAGCCTCATCATTATTAATAAATATTAATCTCCAGCAATTAATTAACTTTTTATCAATCATACACTGCACCAATAAAATCTCGATACAAATTATATATGCTATAGCTATTAGTGTTATAACTTTCTTAAATTAATCATTTTATCCCTCGTTACTAAATATGATCTTACCATCGCTTTCGACCAAATGAAGAATTTGTGTATTTTTTTTTGGTGTTCAGTTAGAGATTATCGTTTTTTCGGTCGACTTAATCAATCTCTCCAGTTGATTTCGACTTCTTTCAGCAACTCCGAATAATCTCGATCACCAATTTTGACTATGAGTGAATTTATGAGATTTCATTCCCAATTCTTTTGTTCACATTTTTAAGTATCATTCCTTTCCCCTCCAACTTAACTAATTTTCTTCCCCTATCCTCAAATCTTTAGCTGGTAATTTTCTAACAGACTACTCGATAAGCAGTTGATTTTTAAAAAAAAAGGTTAGTGATATCCCTGATCAGTTATTTATTCCCCATTTTTTTTCGTCCATGTACTACCTCTGAATAATCTCGTCCTGTTCTTTGACCATGTTAGCTAACTGTGTGAATATGGTGCCGAGTTCGACTATGGTTGATTCGATGGTCTGCACGGCTCCAGCCCGGCTCTCGAGCAATGAGTCTGTTTGGTCTCTCATCGTGGATTGGGCCTGGGCTTGCAAAGGCATAGGGATAACGGCGGTAGCGGTGCGGAAAACGGTGGGGTCGTAATTCGTAGCGAGAGCTTTTTCTGTTAAGTGGTTATCATAATTATATTAAACTATATACTACCCTACCTCACTTATATGTGCCGATCCTTGATTTTCGGTGTATGTTCGTTTTTAGATTCAAAATAATATTACTAATCTCTATTTTTAAATCATTATTAATATAAATATTTAGGATATTAATTATTTCAAATGTAAATTATATTAATTATTATAATATAGTTATGAATGTATGTGTATGATAAATAATTCAAAAATATTATAATTATCCAGTCCGGTTTGTTGTTCCTCAAACTCTGTTGATTTATTTCTTAATTCACATAAGCCCCAAGTTCTTACCAGGATCCCTATAGCTGCCCGAGAATCGATCTCAAGATTCCTTACGTCTCTTATGAATATTTTAAACTTAGATTTCTCCTCAACACCCTTGTGGTTAGATCTAATTATTTTTTGCTTTCGAGTTTTAGTTAAGCCCAAGAATAGAATAAATAACTTATCTGCCTCAATAAGGGAGAAAGTGTCCAATTTTGGAAATACTAATATTGATGAATTTATCCCATCTAACTTTTTCCGCTGTAAATTGATATCTGAAAAATTAGATCTTGGAGATATTAATGGCGCTGCCCGAATATTGACTTCTGATGATACGATTTCCCCTATCAACGTTACTATCTTTCAACAACTTCTCGAGAAACATCCACTAGCTTCCCCTTTTAACATTCACCCGAATGCCTCTTCCTTTATTCCTTTTACCTGTGATGAAGTACTTAAGTGCCTAAAGTCCTTTAAAAAAGGGACGACAAGTGGGTTGGACGGTTTCAGACCTGGTTTTTTGTGGATTCAATGCTCTGATAGTGGTTTTACTGACCCTTTGCTGAAATCATTAACTGAACTTTGCAATAATATCCTCTTATACGAAGTTCCTCTTTGTATTCGTCCTATTCTTTTTGGAGCACGTCTTGTTTCTTTAACCAAGCAGGATGGTGGCATTAAACCCTTAGCCATAGGTCACTCTATCGTCGATTAGTCGCCAAGGCTATTTTAAATAGGATCCGGCCTAAGACCAGTTCCCTCCAATTTCCTCACAGTTGGGATTTGGAGTGAGAGGTGGGTGCAAAGTGGCCTCGCATGTAGCGCGTATTTTTATAAATACTGAGGCGGATAAGGTTTTCTGCAAGTTAGACTTCAGAAATGCCTTCAATAGCATCCATAGGAGCGCATTCTTACCCTCTTTCTACATCATTTCCCAAGATACTAGAAATTCCTTAATTCTTCGTTACTCAAATTCGGGGAATTTTCTATATCCTCTAAAGAGGGGATTAAGCAAGGTGATCCACTAGGTCCCTTGCTTTTTATTATAGGGATTCAGGTTTGATTAAAAATTTAAAGTCTGATTTCAAATTAGACCTTAATTTATGGTATCTCGACGATGGCTCTTTTGGCGATTCTTTATCCAATGTTTTGTCCATCGAGTACGTTGAAATTGAAGCTTCGAAAATTGGTTTTTCCTTAAATAGAAAAAAAGTGAAATATCTTTCCTCAACAATAAAGATTTTATCCCTCCCTAGATTTTAAAATTATTCCCCACGAGTAACTCTGTTTGCTAGGTTCTCCTCAGCTTTTTAACTTCCTTTTGTCAAAATTTTTTGACAATTTGATATAATCTCTTTTTAATTCGCTAAAGAATCTTCCTCACCTTCCCAAGCATCAGTTCTTTTTCCTCACAAAAAATGTCTTTTCCTACTGAAATTCTTACACATATTTAAATCTTCCCCGGTTTTCCAGTATAATACTCTCCTTAAGGCCTTCGAATTAATAAACCTTTTAGTCTTAAAGTTTTCCGATTTTAATTGGTCCTTCGCCTCTATGTCCGCTTACCGGGGAGGACTTTGATTTTCACCCCCCTTTCTAATGGCAATTGCGTGCTTTCTTTCATCTCGGATATCCTTTAACGATTCTATTTCCTCGCCTATCAAGTTATGATCCCTCTTTATCTTCAGCTAAACAAGAGTGGCTTACTCTAGCTATCCAAGGATCCGATAAGCCAGTTTCCACATCTAAAGAGCCTCATGGTCCCTATGCTTCAATGCGCATTTGAAAAACTTTGTCTGAATCCCGATCTAACTAACCTTCAACTGTTCTAAAACGCAAAAAAAAATTCAAAAATTCTAACGATAAATGACTAGACGCGATTCCGAGTGGTAAGAAGGAAACGTTACTCACAGACGATGAGTTTCAAACTGCCATTGGCCATATGCTTGGTTGATTTATCCCTTCCACCTGTGCTGCCTGTTGTAAACAGGTTGATCCCTTCTCTAGACATGTTTTTCTTGTCTCAAAGTCAGTGGCCGTTTTCTGAGGCACGACAACCTTAATAGGTTAATCGGCAAAGCCTTGATTTCGGCCGGTTTCCCCAATAATTTGGAGCCGTTAGGTCTCCTGAATGCGGACGGTAAGCGCCCCGATGGCATGTCTTTGACGTCTTGGCACGACGGCAAAAGATTTATCTGGGATGTTTCGTGTTACCTCCTCTCCGGCTAACAGAAGTACCAACCCCTGGAACTCATAGAAATCAATAAGTTCTATTATATTTATTCACCTAATATTTAGCGTTCGGGGAAACCCCGGTCCCCAATCCCTAAAGTTCTTATGTCAATTGGGTAGAAGAATTTTATTAAGGACAGGGGTCAAAAACGAGTCCTTATCTCTTAAACAAAAAATCCAATTCAAAATCCTAAAGGAGAACTACAAGTGTTTCTTCGAAACACTCCCTTTTCCCTCCTAGTTCAGCACGCATGGTGTTCCTATTTTATAAAAATACAAAATAAATATTATTTTCCTTACTACATATAATTTTAATTTTTACTGTTTTACATTACATTATAATATATTTAATACCTATAATTATAATACTTTAAAATCATTTATCATACACATACATTTCATACGGATATTAATTAAAATAAAAAATTAATTTATATCGATAAATTTTTATCTGTCTTAATATCTGCCCAATATAACCCTAAGATTCACCCAAGTATAAAAGAATCGTCTGCCTTCTTTACAATTCAGTTAAATGACCAAAAATATATAATCAGTGAGATTGTTATTGAATTAAAAGAGTGTTATTCCTTATTTGAATTTTATTTATTAAAATATTTTAATGCATATTATTAAATTTACTTTAAATAATATTTTAAATTTCATTTGACTTTATAAATTTTATATCTTTTGGTAAATATTTTTTAAACTCGAGATTGTTCTTCATAATATATATAATATTAATGATTTGTCTGGAGGCAAATATAATTTATTCTATAAGTATAATAAAACAAATTTATCTATTATAGACTATTTTTCTAAAATTTTTACCAGGGGCACGCTATCAAAACGATTGGGAGGGGCAAGCTAAAATAGGCTAACTATAAAAAGTGTCAAAAAGGAGGTGATTACGACTATAACATTATGTTCAAGTATTCTATTTCGTATAGGTTATATTCTATTCTAAATATTAGCAAAAAGTTAAAATCAATTTAATATTTATTCATTGTATAAATATTTTATGTCACGAATATGTAAAGTTTATTTCCTAACATTTTTTAAACCTTAAATACTGATGGATGTAAGAAAATTTATCAACCAAAAAAAATCTATTTTATTCATTACAAATAATTATGATTAGATTTAGAGTATATGAAATATTCAGCTATCCAAATAGACAAAATTTACTGAATATAATTATTTCTGATACTTATTATGCTACAGAAAAAAAGAAACTGCAAAAAGCCTGCATGACAATATGGAGCTTTTGACATAAAGCTGTTACAGTGTTTTTGGATCCAGAAGCGCCTATTTTGTATGCCCTTGGTGAAATATCAAAATCACCTGAAATGGATATTTCATCTGAAACTGATACATTATTAGATTAAATATGATTGCCGATTTTTAATTGAAATGTATTATTACTACACAACAATCTTATGCATTTTCAAAAAAAATGGATGGTTAAAGTTATGAGAATCGCGAATGTTATTATATTACAACTTATAAAACCAAGAGATAATATCGACCAGGAATTTCTCGAGATTTATATGATTGTTGTGGTGAAAGCGAAATTATATCATTTTGAGATTCATAAGCCTTGACTTTCACCGACAAACAAATCGTTCCAATATTAACGTGGACTCGATTGAGAATTACTATAAAATAACCTTTTTTATTTCACCTTTGAATTTAATTTTGACTATCAATGAACAATTTGTGATTTATTATTTGGCTCTATCCAATTTACAAATACTATAACTTATAACTCATTCTGATTTAAGGATATATTTAATCTAGAAAAATTAAATATTTCGCTAAATTTAATTCATAGAATATAAATGTATCTGAAGGACAATTAATTTCAGAATTTAAATGTTATGAAAAATTCATTTTTGTAGATATCTTTCAAGAAATAGAGTGGAAGTATTGCATACCTTAAAATATATTTAATAAGTTTTCCTAATATGTTAAGATTACTGTATATTTTGGCAATGATACCAACAAGCACAAATGAGAAGATCTTTTCTTCATTACAGAGAATAAAAACCTATATCAAAAGTATATCTTAATATTGATTGAATAGACTAGATTTATCGAGATCTAATCCCTAACACAGAACAAATTATTAAAAAATTGGTCGTACAGAGATTAAATTTTCATTTAAAAATATTTTAATTAACTTTTTAAATCATTATAAACCATTTAATTTTAAATTCAAACTTAATATTTTGTATTTTCCAATATTTCATTATTTGTGTTCGAAATTATCATATTTTCAAATATGATTAATTCTAATAAATTTTATATGATGATTAGTTCTAATAAATTTTTAATGTACCCAAAAAATCATACACTGAATTTAAGTAAAATTTGAATCAAAATTATTAATTTAAATTTAAAGAATTCTCATAAATTTTTTAACAAAAATGTGGGGCAATTAGTTTTTGTAAACTTATTAAAATCACTTTAATAATGATAA